GGAGGAGAAGGCAGCGGCAGCGCGGCGCAGGCGCGATCAGGATGGCGCCGACACAGAGGCAGCGTTTCTCAAGTCAGTTTGTGTATGTATGTGTGTGTGTGTGTGTGTGTGTGTGTGTGTGTGTGTGTGTGTGTGGAGGGGGGGGGGGGGGGGGGGAAGACGCACATGTGCGTGTTTGCACGTCATCTGGTCACCACAACACATTCTTTGTTTCATCCACTTGCTTGCTCGCAATGAAAATGATGGCATCTCCCTCACCTTTCCTCCTCCCGTGCCCGTGCACCTGTTCATGCAGGGACGTGCAAGCGGAAGCGTGGCGGTCCAGCAGCACGGCGAGTTTGGCGGACCGTGTGCGAAGGAACGTGCACTACATCCAGCGCACGGCACATGCCATGGAGCATGGCCTCAAGCGCTCATGACGACATTGTGTGTGGGCGTTGTGTGTGTGCATGTGTCTGCGTGTGTGCATGTGCATGTGTGTGCATGTGTGCATGTGCATGTGTGTGCATGTGTGCATGTGCATGTGTGTGCATGATTGCGTGCAACATGCCTTGCCACCCATGAGCCCTGTTGTGTGCACACCACAGTTTGTTTCGTGTGTAGGACAGTTGAACGCGTGGAAGATTGCATCTGCGTACATGCATTGGAGAGAAACGCATTATTGGTGAAAGAGAATGACATAAACAACCCTGTTCATCGACGCATCTGATCCGGTGAGGGAAAGGAAGCGATGTAGCACACATGTAAGCGCAGTGAGGCAACGATGGACAACACAAAGCAAAACACAAAGCAGCAAGCAAGCGATCCAAGCAAAAAGAACAGATGCTCTCAAAAGGTGGCAAAAAGAACAGATGCTCTCCAACAGGGAATCGAACCCTGGTCTTCCGCGTGACAGGCGGAGATACTAGCCACTATACTATTGGAGACAACATTGCTTGATGACAATGTAGAAAATGTATATTTCAATAGAATTCAAGCAAGTTGTGGGGTCAAAGACCTGACGATTGTCTCCATCCACTCCAGTCCACGCTCCCACCACCATCGCTTCCCATGTCTAGTCCGCGTGCGTTCACTTATGCTTTCAATGGTATTTATTGTATCCACATGCGTGCGCATCCAAGGGACAACCACACAGCAAAACAACGATGCGTTGGATTAAGGGACAAGGTAAGGTAATAGACCGCAAGACAGGGTGCGATCGGTGCAACTCCACGAGAGCGACATCAATTCGTCGCTTTCAGCCAGGAACTTGGAAACTTGTCCAGTCTGAGTAAAGGAAGAACAGGTGCATCACAGCCGCAACAGTGAGTTCGATGTTGATGAGCAAACCAGTCACACCACGACAAATAGGTGGAGGTTGTTTGTTGATCAGCGAGGGCAAGAGTCCGTTCATGTGCCACGACATGTGACATCACCCGGTAATTCCAATATAGCGTATAATATATGTCCATTCTTCATCATCTCAACCCTTCCACCAAAGGAGGCACAAGAGTGTTTACACAAGGGGTGTGTGACGGCTTACCGAAGCGAAGATGGGGTTGCGGAAGCAGGCTTGGCCGAAGAAACTTCCACCGTTCCATCGCGCATAACTAGCGGACATTCAAATGGCAGCCTCGGTCAGCCTGCAGTCCCAACAAAGAAAGATATCAGGTTGGCGTGAGTTGGATACCATAGTGCAGGGCAGCAGTACAGAAAAGGTGTGGGTTTCAACGAGACAAGTTTCAAGAATGCGTGGGTCGGACTAAGGAAGGCAGACGCAAACCATCACCGCACCAACACCATGAGGTGGATGCTTTAGAGGAAACTGCGAATGAGTAAAAAAGCTTCATCATCCCCACGAGAAAGCAGAAGGAAAACAAGACGAGAGAGAGAGAGGAAGGCGGAGAGATAGAGAGAGATAAAGAAACAAACAGCATCAGGCAAAACATGCACATGAAAACACTCACTCTTTGAGGTTGGTTGAGCCCGTTGATCCTCAATGCGGTGAGCAGCACCCAGCTACATCCAGCTGCTGTTGCTTTTGAGAAGCGAAGCGAGCGCGTCCAGTCAAGTCATTCTCAGTTTAGAGATGAGGAAAGAAGAGACGACGGCGTGGCTGTTGCGACTTCAGGTGGCGAGAGCCGGCATCTTCTTGGCGGTGAGGAAAGGCATCTTCTTGGTCGGTTGGGGAGGGTCGAGTGGAAAATGACCATGCGCACGCACTGCACTCAAACATACACGTTGTGTGTGCGTGTGCGTGTGTTTGGCCACGTGTGCAGGCACCACTGTGAGTGGTCTCAATTCCCGCCCACGTGGGTAGGCGAAAATTCACCAAAGCTTGTAGGTTTTGCGAATTGCAGACAAGTTGAAGTGCAATTGGCCAAGCATCACAACGACTACATGCTGACTGTGCTTTTGTTGTGTTGTTGTCTGTCTGTATGATGGCTGCTTCATTTCATCCACCACCTCATCCACCACCTCATACTCCACCACATGCCCGCTCCCTCTTCCTCTCTCATGTCACCACACGCTCTATGATCCTCCCCACGCTGAAACAACAACAAAAAAGGTTTAAGGATGCAGTAACAACGTAACCACACAGCAAAGCAAGCACACGCGCACACACAAACGAAACAACCACACAAGCACAACACACACAGTCAAGGTCCAGCGGTGACAGCAATCACTCGAAGAAGACAATGACCACCATGATGGCCACGCCAAGGGCCATGGCAAGCAGCTCCTTCACAGACTGCCACAGGCGCGTTTCCTGAGAAGCACACACAGGCACATGCATGTGTGTGTGTGGTGGGGTAAGGCGACAATTGCGAAGAGTGGTGGTAGTGGTGGTGGTCGTAGGGAGGAGGGGAAGCACAATAAAGCGCATGATGGAACAACCACAGTACAACAGTACAACAGCAGCCATACACGTGTACACATGTACGTACACACATGTACGCACACACCTCGAGGAGCTCTGGGATGACGGAGACGGTGGCAATGTAGATGAAGCCGCCAGCGGTGAAGAGGAGGATGAAGTTGGTCACGCCCGTCATCTCGCTGCTCATCAGCCCGCACACCGTGCCAAGCATCGCACCAACAGCCGTCACAAGCTGCAGCATAATCGCCTATGTGTGGTGTATGAGTGTTGTGTGAGTGAATGGGTGAGTGAGTGGGTGTGTGTGAATGAGTCGGTGAGTGTGTGTCCTGTCGGTGTAAGCGTAAGGAGGGGACAAGTTGTGGCACTGAAACGAAGGATACACACACACACAAACAAACAACGCACGCAAATCAACACACACCTTTGTCTTGCTGTATCCGCTGCGGACGAGGATGGCAAAGTCGCCGACCTCATGCGGCACTTCGTGCAGGAGAATGGTGACGACCGTCGCATAGGCAGAGGCAGGGCTGCTCACAAAGCACGCGCCAATCGCAAGCCCGTCCGTGAAGTTGTGCGCTGCATCAGCGGCAAGGTTCAGGAACCCAGCAACCTATGCGTGTGCGTGTGTGTGTGTGTGTGTGTGTGTGTGTGTGTGTTATGTTTGTTGTGTACACGTGTGTGTGTGTGTGTGTGTGTGTTTGTTTGTTTGTTTGTTTGTGTGCGTGTACATGTATGTGTGGGCGTTGTGATGCGCGTGTGAGGGCATCGGGGCCAGCAACCACAAGATCTCACCCGAACCACCATGTTTCAACGTCTCCCCGCCCGACCTTAATCTCCTGGGTGTCGTGTTGTGGCGCGGGTGCGTCGTCGTCCTTCTTCTTGCGCGCAACGGGATCGTGGCTGTGACTGTGACTGTGACTGTGGCCGTGGCCGCCCTGTGTCGCACGGAAACAACAGAGACAACAAGGTTGAAGCACACGTGAACGTGACACGCGCACACGGATCAGCACAAATGACAAGAGAAAGACGTTTGAGTGTGCACGTACACTCGCGCTTGCGCCCATGCAAACACAGGCACACATGTACACACACATGCACCCACCTTGATGCCGCGCACAATCTTCTCAATGATGAGGAAGACAAAGATGCCGGAGAGAATATACAAGCCAGAGACAACGTCCCCAGTGTGGTCGTGGCCGTGGTGGCCGTGATCATCGTGGTCGTGATGATGGTGGTCGTGATGATGATGATGATGATCGTGATGGTGGTGGTCATGACCCTCCTTTGCGTGTGGGATCAAGTGCAAGATGGCGTCGCCCAGCAGTCCGCCGGACGCAAACGCCAGCAGCACCTGCTCATCACACAAAGACGCGCAAAGTTGCATGGAGCGTGAGCTACTGCGTGTGTGTGTGTGTGTGTGTGTGTGTGTATGTGCCTGAGTCTGTCTGTCTGTCTGTCTGTCTGTGTGTGTGTGTGTGTGTGTGTGTGTGTGTGTGTGCCTGAGTATGTCTGTCTGTGTGTGTCTGCTTCTATGTCTGTGAAGTACTCGCAGAGCTGGCTGGCTGGAGTGAAATCAAACAAAGGCAAGGTAAGCGGTCACCTTCAGAAGGGACGAGGTGGCGGGCGAAGACATGTCCACAGGAACCACGTACAGCATCGCGGCAGGCAAGGCGGAGATGAGAAACGTCGAGCCCAGCGCCTGCATCCACGTATCCCAGGAGACACCGCTGCTCTTCGCTGCGCCATGATGGTGGCCGTCGTCGTGGTGATGGTGGCCATCATCGTGATCGTGACGATGGCCGTCATCTCCATGGTGGTGCTGGTGGTGCTCGGCGTCGCCATGATCGTGATGATGGCCGTCATCTCCATGGTGGTGCTGGTGGTGCTCGGCGTCGCCATGATCGTGATGATGGCCGTCATCTCCATGGTGGTGGTGGTGGTGCTCAGCATCGCCATGATCGTGATGATGGCCGTCATCTCCATGGTGGTGCTGGTGGTGCTCGGCGTCGCCATGATCGTGATGATGGCCGTCATCTCCATGGTGGTGGTGGTGGTGCTCAGCATCGCCATGGTCGTGATGATGGCCGTCATCTCCATGGTGGTGCTGGTGGTGCTCGGCGTCGCCATGATCGTGATGATGGCCGTCATCTCCATGGTGGTGCTGGTGGTGCTCGGCGTCGCCATGATCGTGATGATGGCCGTCATCTCCATGGTGGTGGTGGTGGTGCTCGACGTCGCCATGACCGGCATCTCCGTGACCAGCTTCTCCATGAGCGGCATCTCCGTGGTCGGTGTGTTGATGACTGTGCACAGCATCACCATGTTCATGCTGGTGATGGTGGGCATCGCTTGCCTGGTGACCGGCGTCCTTTGATGCCGTGGTGGTCGTCGTGGCTGTCGACGCTGTCGCTGCCACCACCAACAGCAGTGCCACGGCAGCACCCGCCACCACCATCGCCGCCAATCGCCCTCGTTGCTTCATCATCATCATCGCTGCTCGCTTCTTGCTTCACTTCTTGCTCGTCGTCTGTCTTGCTTTCACACACACAACAAAAAACGAAAATAAAATTGCCAGTCATCCGCGCCAAACCAAAACACCGCACACACACTCACTCATTCCACAACACACACACACACACACGCACACAACACACAAGCACGATCGCTCATCACAACAACCACGACAGCAGCCAACTCGACGACCACGATGTCCCTCCACGCGGTGGGTGAGCCGTGATCACGGCGGAGGGAGGTGGTTGAAGAGGGCAGGGAACAGCTGGCTGCTCGTGGTGTGTGCGTGCATCGCGTGCGTGGTTGCCATGATGTGGGACTGATCAGCTGGCGTTGTTGCTGTTGTTGGTGTGCACGGCAGGTGGTTGAATCCTCGCGCGCTCTGCGCAAGCACTTTGATGAGAACAAGAGCATCTCCGCCTCCTTGTACATCCGACACTATAGGGACATATCTGGCATGCTCAGCGGTCTTGGCATGGTGTGTGTCTGTCTGTCTGTTTGTCTGTTTGTCTGTCTGTGTGTCTGTGTGTCTGTGTCTGTGTCTGTGTCTGTGTGTGTGTGTGTGTGTGTGTGTCTGCGTGTCTGTGTCTGCGTGTGTGTGTCTGTGTGTGTCTGCGTGTCTGTGTCTGCGTGTGTGTGTGTGTGTGTCTGCGTGTCTGTGTATCTGTGTCTGCATGGCTGTTTGTCTGTCTTTCCGTCAATCCACGCGTACGACCATGCATCCGTTCACTCATGCATGCGTCGTTCTTGCACCCCACCCCTCCCGCATGAGCAGGTGTTTTCTTTCGTGACAAAGGACATTGACTCCAAGATCTGCATCCTGGAGACGCACTTGGAGAAGCGAGGTAACACACACACACACGCACACATACACACACGCACGCACACACACGCACACATACACACACGCACGCACCAGTACAGCAAGCTCTGCTTCCCCTCGATGTCCGTCAAAGCATGCTTGCTTCGTTGGCGTGCCCTTAGGGTCTCACATCTTGTTCTGTGCCACACACACACACACACACACACACACACACACACACACACACACACACACACACACCTCGTTTGCCTCAACCAACCACAAACAACAACCAACAACAACTTTGTTACTGCCCCAAGACACCGAAACCCTCGACGATATTGTCCTGGTAAGACGGCATCACGAGCACCTGCGTCTTTGCGTGCTCCATATGCATGCATCCAGCGCTGTGTGTTTGGCGTTGGTCGCTGTAAAGTCGTGTATTTCATGCTGATGGGGAGGAGCAACAGCAACAACAGCAACAGCAACAACAACAGCAACAACGACAACAGCAACAACAACAACAACAACACTCCTCACCTCGCATGTGTATCCGTGTCTGATGATGCACAACCTGTTTCGCCGTGCTTGCTCGCGTTGGTGCCCCAGTTTGAGGTGAAAAACAAGTGCACCAACACGAAGAAGCCCAAGAGCGCCGCCCGCACCCTCCTCCGTCTCCACCGCGCACTCGGTTCGGCACACAAACACAAAAGCACAAAGGCACACGAGCACGTTCCTGCAATACGCATGCCCCCGTTCAGCTGCCATTGAAGTTTGCGCTGCTTGCTCTAGTGGCATCATGCGCATTTGTTTGCAGGCATCTCACATATCACGCACCAACTCACATCTCACACACCAACTCACATGCCCCACGTCTCACGTGACTTTATCACCGTACACGCCGCACCGCTCGCGTTGCTCTTCCTCTCCCCTCTATCGTTTGCATCAATTGCGCGCAGAGTTTATCCACCACTTTATTGAGCGGTTGCATGCGCTGGAGCCGAGTGACAGCGCCGTCCCAGCAGCACAGGAAGCATACAGGTACGGACACGCGCGGTGTGCTCGCCATGCCGTGTGCAACGCAGCACTCGTGACAAGTGGCTGGCGCGTGCGCGTCAAGCTTGAACTGTTTGCGTCAACAACAACAACAACAGCAGCAGCAGCAGCAGCAGCAGCAGCAGAACAACAACACCACACACACACACACACACTTGTCTTACCTCACATCTTCCAACTTTTCATACAGACACACTCTGAGCCAGTACCATTCGTGGATGATCCGCCAGACAGTGCAGGTTGCACTGCGGACGCTCGACAACAAGGACGCACTGCTGCTTCGGGTGACCAAGACGGAGGACCGGCCGCACAAGCACGTGGAACCCAACGCCATCAGGTGCACACATCATGCTGCGTTTTGCATGCACGCATGCACAAGGGCACGTGTGTGTGTGTGTGTGTGTGTGTGTGTGTGTGTGTGTGTGTGTGTGTGTGTGTGTGTGTGTGTGTGTGTGTTTGTGTCTGTGTGTGTCTGTGTGTGTCTGTGTGTGGGCGCTTGATGTCAAGCACAGCGCACGCCTGTGACAACCTCACATTTTCACACACACACACACATCAACCCTCCACATTCACATTCACACACGCACATCCTCCTGCAGGATGCTGTGTGAGGACTTGAGGAGGATCTGGGAGCATGTGCAGACCATGTTTGACGAGCACGACTTGCACGGCTTGCCATGATGACCATACCTTCACACCTTCTCTGCTTAGTCTGCTTGCTATCTTTTCTCCTATCAACCTCTTCCTCTGTTACCCTTACGTCGTCGTCGTTGTTATTGTTGTCACTTGTGTTGGCTTGCCCTGTTATATATTGTGCAATTGGCCGGCTGATTGATTGGTCTTTCCTAACTCCGTGCTCGTGCGTGTGACGCGTCACCCACAAATCATCACGCATGCCGCAACCACGTGTCACATGTCATCACAACCACGCTGTGCCATCAATGTTCATCGCCATGGTCTTAACAATGTGTCTCGTGTCCGTCTCGTGCCGGCATTGCCACCTCTTATCAAAGCAACACGTGTGACGTGTCACGATCACAATAAAACGATCCCCAAAATGCTGCACAAACGTCAGCAAATGTGCGTGTTTCCGTACAGCAGATTTTCCCGCCAAAATGCTTTCATCCAAGTGTTCGGCAAAGAAAGAAGAAGTAGAGAAGTGCTGTGGAGGCTCACGTAAGAAGAAGAACATATTCTTCCCCCTCATGCAGGGCAGCAGGCTGCGGTGGTGGGATTGTGATGACATGAACAGCAACGGATGAACGCGCTGTGTGCACGTCTCACATCTCACATCACCAACGACTCAAAAACACATCTCACCTCGAGACAACTTGCTGACTTGCAGAAGGCTTGGTCACATCACCACCACCACCACCCTGCCAGAATGACATCGTCAGCTCCATCGTTTGTGGGTCAGGCAAAGCCAACGTTTTGCTCTTGCGTGTGTGTGAATGGCAGCATCTTTACTGTCTTGCGCACATCACATAATATGTGAGTGAGAACAGCCCGTCAATTGTGCAAATCTTCGCAACCCGCGCTCACACTCCATAATCTGCTCTCTTCGTACACTCTGGCTGGGCTGACTTTTAACAGCTGCTGCTGAACCCGTCCATGCAGTCAAGTGCCATCGCAACCGCGCTCGCCCAGTGTCAAGCCAGCGTTCGCCTTCGTTGTGAGTGTGCGCCGCACGGTGCTGTCGTGTATGTACCATCTACCATGACATGCAACCAGCTCAACAAGACAACAGGCCAAATGGCCAAATCGTGTTCTCAACTGTCGTCCTTCTCTCGCCTGCTCCATTTTGTTCCCCCCCCCCTCGTCGCTTACCATCTTGTACACGTGTTTGTGTGCCGCAGACACGCGAAAGATCGAGCCGGACGTGATTCGTCTCACGCGACCGCCCATGTCCTTCCTGGTTGTGACGAAAGCCGCGTCGTTCACAACCACCCAAGCAACGTGCGTACGTTGGAGAGAACCGGTAACAGACTCCTTCTGCGCCTGCACTGCGGCTACCATGCCTGTCTTGTCAATGGTCCATTAGCCTCGATACTGAGATCCCCTTGGTTGTGCATGAGCGAGGGTATCCACTTACAAGAGTTGCTTGCACATACCACTGTACGCACACTAACCTGCACGCGCAGGCTGCAATCCTGTGTAGCCAGCTCAAAGGCCTGCTTTGTGCTGCTCATCTCAGATGATGGCATGCTCAGCAGCGCGCAACACCAGCTCCAACAAAGGTGAACAATCATGGGTCAACGCTGTGTGTGCGTGTGTGCGTGTGTGCGTGTGTGCGTGTGTGCGTGTGTGGGCGATGAGGCGCGAAGTTGAAACCGCTTTGTGTCACATTAGTGGAGTAGATGGGTGGGGGAGCGCTCGCGGTCATCACAGCATCACATCACAGCATCACATCACAGCATCGTCATCTGTACGCGACCACCCGACTGAGGTCACGTGCCGCCTGGTCTCGTGCCTCGCAGGTCTCACACTAGCACCTCATGTCTTGGACAGGTGGATGGGGAGATCGGCAGTTGGTGTTCGCATGTGCGTGAGTGGCGCGCAGGCCAGCAAGGTGCTGATAAACACGGCCACGTGCTCACAGCCCAGCACGCGGCAGCAGCTTCGCACCATGCTCGTTGGTCGCCAGGAGGAGGAGGACGAACGTGGCGATCGTGGAGCACAGCAGCAGCAACAGCTGGCACGCTGCCTGGAGAACACTGGTCAACTCACCCAGTCGGAGGTATGAGAAGAGAAGTGCGTCGACGTGTGGTGTGTGTCTGTGTGTGTGTATGTCTGTGTGTGGGTTGGTGCGTGTGTGTGTGTGCGTGAATGGTGAGGGAGTGAGCACAGAACCTTAGCTACGAGAGAGTATTCACATGTACCCTCTCTCTCCTGTTGCGCTCCAGGCAGCAGTGTTCTGCACTCACCTTGCTCGCTTCACTGCGCAGCCTTTACAACTGTGCGTCTCTCTCTCTCTCTCTCCGTCTCGCTCCCTGTATGCTAGGCTGGTCTCATTCAGGATGGCTTTGGATCAGTGCAGCGCTTCAGTTCTGCCACGCAGCACTCGCTGCTCGCATGCAGGTAGTCATTTAGGGAGGCTGAGGGAAGGAGGGATGACTGCTTGACTGGGTGGTGCAGATGTTTAGGATGTTTCTTTGGGTGGAGGAGAGAACAACATGGCAGTGCACATGCAGTCCTTGAGGGCACACCCAAAGCTAGAACGCAGCCTCTCATACCACACACACACACACACACACACACACACACACACACACACACACACACACACACACACACACACACACACTCCTGATTTGAATTTGGCGGCACAAGTTTGTCTGCGCAAACGGCGGAAAGAGTGCACAAAGCCATTCTCCAGCAACAACTGTGACAGCGCGGCACTGTGTCCGTGCTCTTCTTGTTCTTTCTTTGCTTGCTCTTGGGTTGCACCGGCCTTGAAGCGAATACACAACAGCACAAGCACACAAGAAGCACACACACACACACACATACATACATACATACATACACGGATCTGAGGAAGAAATACAAGTTCCAAGAAGAGAGGGTGGTGCCATCGTGACGCAAGAAGGCGTCAGGTCCCAGCAGCAATCGTTGGCGATCAGCACACGTCGTGGCACGTGCCTCTGGTAGCCCACGACGGCAGGCACGCGTGCATGCTTGCACTGCGCTTGAGCCGGCGCCGGCTCACCACGAGAACAGCCCTCCTGGCAGATGGCAAGCGCAACGGTCTTCCCTTCACAGGGTGCGTGTGTGTCTGCCTGTGTGCGTGCGTCTGTCTCCCTGTGTGCGTGCGAACGTGCGTGTCTCAGTCTCTGTGGCTGCTTGTCTTCTGCCTTGTCTTCTTCGTACGTTGTCTCTCCCAACGTCTCCTGTGCTTGATTGCACCGCGCTCTTCCCCTCAATTCACCTGGCACCCACCTGCACACCCCCCCCCCCTCCGCGGCTCGTCACATCGGCAGATGGATCTCGTTCAAGCAGCGCGACCCACAAGACAAGGGCTTCTTCACCCAGAACCCTGCCCCCATCCACTCCAAGGTGCTGCTGACTCATCTGGCGATCCATGCAGCTGCACATACCATGCTCAAGAGAGCGCTCACATCCTGTGCCATGCCCCTGCCTGCAGATTCTCAGCGCCAAAGCCGATCCCCAGGAGGACGAGCACGTCGTTGGTGCGTACACACGCTTGTGCAACCGAATGCTTGCACAGCATTGCATACGTGCTGCTTCGGTGCCAAATGCTGGCTGTTCGCGTGCTGGCGCTGGGTACCCCGGCTTTCAGCACCTGCATTTGACAGTGGCAGCATCCGACTTTGATATATCTCACCAGCACACTGCCTGCTTCTTTGTTGTGACTTGCTGAGTAGGTGTCAAGACAAACGAGCAGCACGATGTACCACCGCGTCCAAAGACAGTGGTACGTGCCCATGCCATCACCAGCATGTGTTTCGCAGTTACATACCTCTTTCACGATGCGTGTCCATCGGTCACATTCCCACACTGCAACTGCATCCATTCCATGCGTGGTGCTCAGAAGAAGGAGACAGAGGCGGTTGATGTGTCGCGCGTACCGCCACCAGAACAGATCAACGTGGCAGCGCTTCGCGAAACAATGCAGGAGGACTGGCGGAAGCTGCAAGAAGCCAACAAGCGCTTGCGGCAGTGGCCATTCGAGGTCAGGCGCATGTGTGTGTGCGTGCGTGTGCGTGTGTGTGCGTGCATGTGTGCGTGTGTGTGCGTGTGTGTGCATGTGTGCGTGTGTGTGCATGTGTGTGTGTGTGCGTGTGTGTGCGTGTGTGGCACATCTCGCTGTGCAACTGCGCGACTTGCTTTTCAAATGCATCCTCACAGCTCCAAACTGACCGCGGCCCAACCACCACCACCACCACCACCACCGCCACCACCACCACCGCCACTATCATCCCATCAGGCCGATGTGAAAGCGCCGAAGATGCCGCTGTCCACGCGCGTCACCGTCGCCCTCTCCCTCACAGGGAACATGCTCATCTCGGCCGCCAAATTCTACGCGTACACGCGCACGGGACACAGCGCAATGCTCTCAGAGGCCATTCACACCCTCGTCGACGTCGGAAACCAGGTGCGTGTATGTGTGCATGTGTGTGTGTGTGTGAGTGAGTGAGTGAGTGTATGTGTTAGCGTGTGCGTGTGGCTTTCTGTGGGCATATATGTGTGTGTGTGTCAGTGTGTGTCGTACGTCTCCTGATGTGTTCAAGACAATAACTATTCTTACGCCGCCTCCTCCTTCTTCATCACGCAACACACCACCACGCGACCGCTGCGACCAGGCGATCCTTGGGTACGGGCTGATGGAGGCTGAGCGCTCGCCTGACCGCAAACACCAGTACGGTTACGGGCGCGCTGCCTTCTTCTACTCGCTGCTCACTGCCATGTCCACGTTTGGCTTCGGCGCTCTCTACACGGGGTACCAGGGTACGCAGCCACTTGTGCCGCTGTGTGTCGTGCTGTGTGCCGCTTGCTGTACTTGCAAGCTGAGAGCAAGGCGTGAGGGAGAGTCAAGCTCGTGTGTTCTTTTCAGCCCCAATTACAGTTACATCCATTTCACCACCACCATCACCACCACGACCACCACCACCACGACCACCATTATCGTCATCACCACCACCGCCACCACCATTATCGTCATCATCATCATCATCATCATCATCATCACCACCACCACCATCATCATCATCATCATCATCATCATCATCATCACCACCACCACCACCACCACCACCACCACCACCACCATCATCATCATCATCATCATCATCATCATCAGGCGTACATTCGCTGCTACATCCGCCAACGGAGCTGTCAAGTCTTCCGGAAACGTGGGCCATCCTTGCTGTTGGTCTCGCTGTTGACGGCTTTGTTCTCCACACCGCTCTCCGCAGCACCCGGTGGCGCGCACGCAAGGAGGGCGTGTCGACGGCGCAGTGGCTGCTGTCGTTTCGTGATCCGTTCACGGTTGCGGTCGTGTTTGAGGACAGCGCTGCTGTTGCCGGCGTCATTGTTGCCGCACTCGGCATTGGCATGACACAGGTGAAAGGAAGGGGGGGGGGGGTGTTATGGGTGTTGTGTGTGTGTTGTGTGTTGTGTGTTGTGTGTTTTGTGTTGTGTGTGTGTGTGTGTGTGTGTGTGTGTGTGTGTGTGTGTGTGTGTGTGTGTGTGTGCTGTGTTGTGTTGTGTCACGCGATCAACCCTCACTGCCATTTCGCACCCCTTACTTCCACCACCATCGCCACCATCATAATTAACCACGCCAGGTGACGGGCAACCCCATCTACGATTCGTTGGCGACGCTGTGCATCTCGGGTCTGCTGGCGTCCGTCTCGCTCAAACTCATCCAACTGAACAGATCCTTCATCCTCGGACGCGTAAGCACTGGCGTCGAGGTGGAGGGAAGAGTGGGGGGAGGGACGAGGGAGACAGGGAGGAGGCAGGGATTGCTTCGCGTTGTGCATGTGCTCGTGGTTGTACATGCGTGCAGTCGTGTGCAGTTGTGTGCGGTTATGTTTGAACGTGGCCTGTCCTCACCAGGAGCGAAGATACATCCACACCCCCCCATCCCCTTCTCTAACACCACCACCACCACCACCACCACCACCGCGCGCCAGCCTGTCGATGACAGCATTCTGTCTGGGCTGCGGCGCATCTTGAAGCGGCGGCAGTCTGTTGACGAGGTGCACAGCGAGCAGTCCCAGTGGATTGGGCCCTCCATGTTCTCGTACAAGGCCGAGGTCGACTTTGACGGCACCTGGCTCGCTGTCCAGGTAACACATCATGATGGGAAGGCGAGAGGGTGTGTGTGTGTGTGTGTGTGTGTGTGTGTGTGTGTGTGTTGAACATGCATATGCGTGCATGTATGTGTGCGCGTGCGTGCGTGTTTTGCCCTGACTGTGCCGAACCAAAAACCAAGCACACAGCATTCGTTACCATTTCGAGCAACTGCTTTCCACCACCATCATTCATCGCCACCACTAACCTACGATCCCCGCCATCCTGCAGTTGTTTGAAAAGTACCGTCCAGTGTTCCTCAACGCCGCCGTGCAGGGCCACGATGCAATGCAGCACGTGCGTATCGTCGTGTGGTTGCATGCGCGTTTGTGTGATTTTGCGTGCGTGCTTTGTGTGCAGTCGCACATGAAAGCGTATGACTGCACATCTGCATTTGCATGTCCCTTCCTACATCCACTCAACACACACACACACACACACACACACACACACACACAAATACACGTGCACACACACACACACACACACACACACACACACACCACGTATACATGACCACCACTACGGCCGGTTCCAGGAGCTGGTGTGGCTGCTGCCGGCGTTTGCGGAAGACGTCACGCGCGTCCTCGAGAAGGAAGTCCGCGATATCCAGGTGCCGACAGCAGTCCGCTGATGGTGGTGGTGGTGACTGATAGTCGTGGTGGTGATTGGGTGGATGAAGAGCCATGTCACGTGTGCGATGTAGTGTTTGTCTTATCTTCGTTCAACGATTCACCACCTACTACCGACCGTCCTTACCACCGACCGCAACGACGACCATACACACCATCTGGTGTGATGTGCGACTGCAACAGGCGGAGGTGCGGCGGGTGTACCCGGCGGCCGGGTTTGTTGAGATTGTGCCAGACAGCTCGCAGACGACGCTGATGGCACTCGAGTCGTTTATGAAGAAGAAGGCGTCACGCCTCGTCGAGCAATACCAGGTCAGCGGAAGGTGGGAGGGAGGAGAACGGGAAGGACGGAAAGGAAGGGCGAGAAAGCGGCGCGTGGTGTCGATGGTTGCTTGCATCGCCCATAACCGAAAGGCATCAAGCCAGCGCAGTCAACACACGCCAACACATGCCGACACGTGACCGTTTGCGCTCATTTACCCCCGCCCTCCACTGCTCACTGTGTGCGAAGGTTGAGGCGATGTTATCCGGAGACAGTATACAGCACCACAACGACCACTACAACCTCGGCAGCTTCTATGTTGGCATGGGCCAGTTTGAAAAGGCCGCCACCCAATTCCAAATCTGCCAGGACCAGCGCGAGAGCCTCCTCGGTGTGTGTGTGTGTGTGTGTGTGTGTGTGTGTGTGTGTGTGTGTTTGTGTGTGCGATATGCGGCGATGCGTTGTGCACATATGTGTTTGTGTGTGTGTGTGCGTGTGTGTTTGTGTGTGTTTGATTTTACCTGGTCATGTGCTGCTCATCGCCGCTTCAACTTTCGCGTTTGCTCTTCAGGCCGTGGAAGCGAGGAAGTCGTGGCATGCTTGGAACGGTCAGTGCATTTGTCATCATCGGGTCTCTCCTTAATACCCGCACACACACACACACACTCATTCACACACACACACACACACACACTCATTCACACACACACACACACACACACGCACACTCACACATTCACTCACGGTGATACGTGCGTGGCATGTGCCCTTGTTTCTCGGCTCTTGCGTCATGTCCGCTATCCTCTTCCCTCATCACCACCACACTGTGCCTGCATGCACGCCAGGCTCGGATACGTGTACCGGCGCCTGGGCGACACGCGCCGCGCTCTGCAGTGCCTCAAGTCCGCACAGCAGATGATGGATGCAAACGAGGCGGCGAACCCGCTCCTACGTACGTGAACCCGTGGTGATGATGGATGGGTGTGGAGCTGAAGCAGGTCTCGTTGCCATCCAGTCGTATCATGTCACAACACCCGCAGTCCTTGTTTACCGTCGTACACACTTGTTCCGCGTGCGTCATCTTGTTTCGCCTTCCCTTTGACTGTGTTCATACATACTCTCTCACTCTCTCTCTTTCTCACACACACACAGACACACAGACACACAGACACACACACACACACACAGACAGACACACAGACACACACACACACACACACGCGCGCGCGCGCGCTCACTCATACAAACTCACTGATTCATACACACACACACTCTCTTCCGCCATCAGTTGCGTCTGTGCATGCTGAGATGGGCCTGGTGTTATCCGAGATGGGCCAAGTGATTGCTGCGAGCAAGAGCCTCGAGAAAGCGCTGGCACTGCGGCGGGCGCACCTCGATCCCCTCAACCCGGCCATCCTCTCCCTTCTCCTCGCACTCGGAGACCTCTACGCCCGCATGCCCGCAGTGCGTGACGATGGGATGGTGGTGTTGGTGGTGGTGATGATGATGGCTGGCTTGGTTCGTGTACATGTTGATTGTGTGTGAGAGGGTTCTTTTTTGCTTTGTTTGCTTTGTTTATGTTTGTGTGACTGCTTGCTTGTGCGTCCATCCTGTGCTCCTGTCCCATCTCTCCTCACGTTTGTTTACGTCCGTTCACATGTGTTCAGAAGCGCACGATGGCGCTCGACTACTACCAGGAGCTGCTGCGCTGTCGCATCAAACTCTACGGAGACAAAGACCTCAGAGGTTTGCGCACCGTGATGCATGTCTTCTTGTGTGCGTGTGTGTGTGTGCGTGTGCGTGTGCGTGTGCGTGTGTGTGTTTGTGGACACGTGTGTGTTCGTTGCGCCGGGGTCTTTCCATCGTTCATGAACGTGCAACTGCAGTCCTATCACGCCAACCCTCGCACTGCATCTTCACACCGCTCCTTGATGCCGCCACCACCCCTCTTTCCCTTCCTCAACCCCCCGCTCCAAACTTCCTGACCTCGCTTCTCTTGTCACCAGTGGCTGACGTGTACCACAAGTTGGCGCTTGCGTGCAAGACGACCGGTCGGCTGGATCAGGCCATCGACTGCGCCAAGAACGCCGCACACATCAAGGAGCGCTGCTTTGCGTCGAGTGACCCCGTCGCCGTCTCCGTCGCCTGGGAGGATGTTGGCGACCTCCTCCTCATGCTCGTACGTTGCGGCCGGGGGAGAGTTGGGGAGGTGGGGGGTAGTGCGTTTGCTGTGCGTTGCGACTTGTCAATGGCTTTTGAAAGTTGGTATGTTTTGATGAGCACACACGAATGCCTTTTGCCATCCGCCGACACACAACCACACATCCCACGCTCACACACACCTACTCACACGCTCACACACACTTACTCACACACTCACACACACACAAACACAATTGCTCACACACATACACCTCCTCACACAAACACTATTACTCTCACACACACACACACACACACACACACACACAAACACTATTGTTCACGCAAACGCACAACAGAAGCAGTATGCGAGGGCGCAGGCTGCGTTTGAGCACGCGCTGAAGGTGTTGGACAACGTGGACGAGCGGGTGGACCATCCGGATGTCAGACGCATCATCCACAAACTCATCGACATCTACCACAAGTTTGGCTTCCCCATCCCCAGCTCATGGAGATGACATGCAGGATGTATGTGAGTGTGTGTGTGAGAGAGAGAGAGAGAGAGAGAGAGAGAGAGAGAGAGAGAGTGTGTGTGTGTGTGTGTGTGTGTGTGTGTGAGGAGCACGATGCGGGTGGATCACGGCGTAGCGTTTAGGTCATTGTTACCGAGTAACATGAGAAGATGAGGCGTGTGGTGAGAACATGCGAGAGTTAGCGCAGATGGCTTTTCCTTTGTCACTCGTTTGTGAAGCTGCTTTTGGTAAGTGAACATGTGCGTGCCAACACCGGGGGATGTGGACAATGTGTACAAATCGCATGTGCATGCGTGCATGTGTGCATCCTAGCTAGTTTGTTTGAGTTGTGCGCGCGCTTGTGTGTGTGTGTGTGTTGTGTGGTTTTGGTGCGTGTGTCTCCGCTTGTGTCTTTGCGTGTGTGCGTGTGTGTGATGAGCTGTTATAACTGCCAAATGAACTGCGATCACGAAAGGAAGCGTTCACAACGGATGTTGTTGTGGCTGCCGGTTAGTTTGATCTTGATCCACAACAGACACACACACACACACACACACACACACACACACACACACACACACACACACACACACACACACACACACACACACACACACACACACACACACACCACACACACACACACACCACAGCCTTTTTTTGTGCTGTCGGCAGCAATTTTTCTTCGACCGACCACGACGATTTTCGCTGACACTTCGCTGACGTGTGGTCTGCATTTGATCGATATCAACTGTACCGTTCACATCTCCCATCTGCTTATCTCCCGCCAACTGCCGCTGCAGTTGAACACACACACACACACACATACACGCACACGCACATACACAAGGTACATGACATGTGTTGCATATGCGATCCCAGTTTACTTCATTCTTTCCTTGTTTTCGCCTTCGCAACTCCCCACATCATATTCGACAAGCTGCTTGCTTGCTTGCTTGTCTGTCGACAAAAGCGCTTGGTTCTGCTGTCTCATCAGCATCCATCAGCATCCTCACCAGTCGGCATCCACCTGTGTCGATCCACCCACTGCGCTACCTCTCACCCTGCCTCTTCTGCCTGTGTCCTCCTTTTTTGTTCATCCAAAGGGGCGTCTTCAGCCTTTGTGACAGTGCTGACCTATGTCCAAGAAGCGCGGAAGGGGGCGCAGAAGGTTATTTCTTGGAAGATACCGAGGGCGTCGTCGGCAATTCAGACCAGGCATGGCAAACGCACTGCTGCTGCGTGAGGGCGCAAAGACCGACAAGCTCCTGCCGTACGAGGCCAACTCCGAGGAAGAGTTTCGCGCATACCTGCTGCCCGGCATCGAGCATCTGCGCGACCTTGTTCTCAATGATGGCCCTCTCGACGAGATCCGGGACTGCGTCCACTTTCTCAAGAGGTGCGTCACCGTGCCGTGCTTTGTCGACGCGTTGCCGTCGTGGCGATGGCATGTGTGCGTGTGCGGGTGTGTACCTGCGGATTGCAGGTGCTGCTTGCTTGTGTCCCCTCTTGCATGCATGCATGTGCACATACGCTGGCACAGTCCCTTACACACACACACACACACACACACGCACACACACACACACCCATCCACACACACACACACACACACACACACACACATCCATCCACACACACACACACACACACATTTTCTCTCTCCCTCTTCCCTCTTCTTGATGCAACGCTCACTGCTGCCTGCGCGCTGACACTGGCCATGATTTGCAGGGCATGTGATGTCATGATCCAGATGCCACTGAGCACAAAGGAGATGGCGGACGTGCTGCTGTTCCTGTGGGAGCTCGTACTGTGCCGTCCCCCAGATCGCTTCTTCTGCAACGAGCCCCTCCTCGCACTCCATGCCTGGCTCAGGTCAGTTCATCAGCGCAGTGGCTGCTGTCGTGTAGTGTCTTGTCGATGTGTCTTGGGCACGTGATGGTGCGGTGTCTTGTCGATGTGTCTTGGGCACGTGATGGTGCGATCGACACGTGTCGTCACTGTATCGCTGTTACGACCCTTGCAACCATGATAGCCATTGTTTTGTTTTTCCTTCCCCTGCTGTGTGCGCACCATGTCACTGCACGCGGCACGACTGACCGCCACCCACTTCCCCACGTGCAGGCGGGCGGCGTGCATGCTTGAGCCCGGTGACGTGCAGCTGCCATGGCGACCAGCGTACAAGGTCTGGAAGCTCGTCAAGTGGGTGCCATCCCGCCTCAGTGGCAACCTTGTGTAAGTGAACGGTGTCGCTGGCAAGCGCTTCCTGTGTTGTAGCAGCTGAATCACACACACACACAGCTGATGGCTGCACCCTTCCCGCTTCAGTGTCGTGCCCTGCCTGAAGTTGCCGATGAACCTGCGGCGCGCGTGTGTGTGTGTGTGTTTGTTTGTTGGAAGATACACCGCCCACTCTCTATAATCACGAATTTGTCTTGCCCCCGGAGCGCCTGCTTTCTCGTCCCTTTGTTGTTCTCTCACTCGCCCTTCCCCAAATGGCTGTCATGCATCTCCCTTGCCCACTGCTGCTGGCAGCAACACGGCCGTGCTTGAGCAGGTGATCACCTATGCCAACCGCTTCTTCACGCCCGGGTCCGATGCAGAGGTTATGGCTGAGCTGAGGCCTTACCTCTGCGGCACAGACACGAGCCTCGAATACGCATGCACCACCCTCTTCTTCTTCATGCCCAGCAGACCACAGTCAGTACCGTCGTTTTAGCTTGTGCTTGTGTGTGTGTGTGAATATATATGTGTGTGTATGCATCTGTGTGTGTGAATGTGTGTGTGTGTGTGTGAATGTGTGTGTGTGAATGTGTGTGTGTGTGAATGTGTGTGTGAATGTGTGTGTATGTGTGTGTGTGAATGTGTGTGTGTGTGAATGTGTGTGCGCTTGTATGTTACACCTTCTCCGTGCAGCTTTAACCGCTGTCCACATAACTTCTGACCGCCAACCAACATCACCGTGGCCACACCACTCGAACCGCCTCCATTCACCATTCCCCTATGCACAAACACACCCACACCCACGCCAACACCAACACACCTTGTTCTTGTGTGAGCAGTGCGTGGTATGCGGCTGGGGTGGACTGCGTGCCGTGGCGGCATGAGATGGCGCAGGTGTGGGAGCACGCGCGGCGGCACATATCGTCCAAGTCAGCATGCATGGCGACGCTGGCGCGGGCCATCCGCATTGGCATTGGGCGCGTCGACCTCGCTGACATGCGGCCAGTCATCTTCAAACAGGTTAGCACGAAACGTCGTGTCACTTGCACCGTTGGGACAGGCAATGCATCCTTGGCTACACCACCCTCTACATCACTTTCACTCACTCGTGCACCCTTTTCGACACCCCCCCCCACACACGCACACACGTGACAGGTGCTGCGGTACGTGCGGCTGAACCCGAACGAGCCCCCCGGCCGCGACCAAAGCCCAATGTTCCACCTGAGCGAGAGCCGCGCCTTCGTCTGGCTCTGCCTCCCGAACGACGACGAATTCTGGGTACGCACCGTGGCGTGTACATGCGTGTGTATGTATGCATGTGTGTAAGTATGTGTAATTATGTGTTTGTATGCATGTGTATGTATGTGTGTAATTATGTGGTGTATAAGTATGTGTATGTGTGCGTGTGCGTGCGTGGCTGTGATCCTTTGTTGGTTGCTGCTGGTGATCATCATTGTTGTTACGTCAATCAAAAACGTGTTAACCCATGTCCAAACTCACAATATCTCCGCCACCCACCTTTCACGCTTCACCCTTCACTGTAGGCGTTTGTGGATGATCTTGTGCATGTGCTTGAGCCTGAGCTGCACCCGTCCAACGCGGGCCACCAGCAGCAGCTGTGCGCAAATTTCGTCTCCGCCGTCATTCAGGGCTTCCTCGCCCGCCGCGAATCTGAGATGGACCCCCGCACCACCATCCCGGAGCACGCCAGGTCAGCACCACCCATGGCGGGCGACCCCTGTTGTGCTGTTGTGCTGTTGTGCGGGTGTGCTGTTGTGCTGGTGTGCTGGTGTGCTGGTGTCTGTTGCCGTGCTTTGTTCCCTGGCTCGTGGTCACGTACTGCGGCCGTTCCTGTGCTCTTGTGTGCGGCAGCAACAACCCATGTCACGTTTTCGTGTGTGACGTCTCACGCTCGCCACTGGGCTTGTTTCCCGAAACGCCATTACGCCACTTGCACCTGTTGCTCGCATCCACACAGGCTGAAGCAAGGGGACTACGACCGCCTGTTTGACGCCTTCAAGGAGAGCGTGCTGCGCTGCCTCAACTCAAAGGACCCCGTAAGCAATTGCTCGCTCGAGCTCGCTCATGTCGCTTTGTATCTGGCCGCAACAAACCCGTTTCTCCTTTGCGTCTTGCTCCACTTCCACAACAACAACAACAACAACTTAAACAACAACAACAACAACAACAACAACAACAACAACAACAACTTAAACAACAACAACAACAACTTAAACAACAACAACAACAACAACAACAACAACAACAACAACAACAACAACTTAAACAACAACAACAACAACTTAAACAACAACAACAACAACTTAAACAACAACAACAACAACTTAAACAACAACAACTTAAACAACAACAACAACAACTTAAACAACAACAACAACAACAACAACTTAAACAACAACAACAACAACAACTTAAACAACAACTTAAACAACAACAACAACAACAACAACAACAACAACAACAACAACAGCTTAAACAACAACAACAACAACAACCTACACCGCTTGAATGCCTCCCCCCCCCCCTTCATCCATCGACACTTTGCATGCCGGCGTCTCCTTCATTCATCAACCTGCCCCACCTCCACTCCCTTTTCACTGCTGCCCTTTGCTCCACCACCACCTTCACCACAACACGCAAATCCGATGCCCCTCCCCACCACCAGGCCATTGTGCAGCTTGGGCTTGCCGGCGCCATGTACATGTGCATGCTCTCACCGCGCCGCTTCGTCCCATGGGTCGTCGACCAGATGTACTCTGGTCTCGAGGTGAGCTGATGATACTGCTGCTCCCATCGTCCACCTCGTCTCATCCTCCCCTTTGTTTCTCCTCAGTGACATCAATTTGCCCCATCCCCTTCTCATCGCTCGCACCGTCGTCGTCCTCTCTTCATCTAACCCTCTCTCCGTTCCCTCTCACCTCACACCACCTCGCCAAACCACGTGTTTCTGTAGAGCCTGGAGAGCCACCGGCTGATTGCGACGCTGCTGCTGCTGAGCGGCATCCCCAAGTTTCTCTTCTCGCCGACATTTGTGCCCAACGGCGATGCGCACCTCATCCCGCTGCTGCACGCGCTCCTGCCCGCGCTTGACGTCAACGACCCCAACAAGTCGCTCGAGGCCATGAACGTGCTCATGGAGGTGACGCAGACGGTCACGTTTGTGGACTGTTCCAACGCCATCCCGGACGACGCCAGCGCGGAGGAGCAGGAGGCCATGGAGGCCACGTGCCAGATTGAGTCGTGGCTGGACGCCTTCCTGGACACCATGTTTGAGCTGGTGGAGAACATGTCTGGGCTGAGCACGCCGGCCGGGTGGCGCAACGCGTCGCTGTCCTTTGACGCCATGCTGCAGGGCGCGTTTATGCAGCTCAGCCCCGAGCTGGCGAACCGGGCCGTGGACAAGACGGCGACGTGGCTGCTTACGCGGGCCGTGAACCGCTCCAACGGGTCCATCAAGGCCGTCGCTCGCAGCGCAGCCATCTGCAATCCAAAGCGCATGCTCGACAAGGTGCTGCCCACGCTGACAGAGAAGCTGCTGGACCTGTGCGCGCACGAGGCGACGATTGACGAGGCGAAGCGGGAGGTGATGGGCCGCATGACGCTGCTCGTGTCGTACCTCGACGTGTGGCGGAGCATCATCACCCAGCTGGACCCCGCGGTCATGGAGCACAAGGACAGCATCATGGCCGTGTTCCGCGCCGTGCTGCGGCTGCGCGGCCAGGGGGCGGTGCAGCGGGCGGCGGATACGCTGGGCGTGCTGCTGGAGCGGCTCACGCTGCCGTGGATGCCGGACAGGTCCGCCGTCACCGTGGATGACCGGCAGGGGAAGACGGACATCGACCCCGTGACCATGTTCCGGCGCAGGTTCTACTCTGGCATGAGCGAGGACGAGGTGACCGAGAGCATCTTCACGTACAAGTTCCTCAAGCCGCTGGTTGACGGCACGCTGGACCCGCGCTGGCGGAAGCCGACGGCGGAGACGCGTGCGTTTGCAGAGGAGCTGGTGGCGGCGTTCTACGACGACGCCGTCGCCTTTCTCAGGGAGTGCACCACCAAGACGAGCAAGGAGGCCGCAGCCACGGTGGACCGCGACATGCTGCGCACGGCCCTCTCCATTGTGGAGTGCGTGGCAGACACGCCGACGGTGGTGTGGCCGTTCACGGCGGACAAGTTTGATGCGCAGGAGGGCGGCATCCCCGGCGCCCCCTTCAAGACGCAGCCGCCGCGGCACTGGGTGGAGCCGACGTGCGAGCGGGCACATGAGCGGCGCGGGGAGCTGATTGAGGTGCTCACGGCGCTGGTGCCGTGGGCCATGGAGCACCGCGCGTCGGACGTCAAGGTGCTCAAGGCGTGTGTCATCTGCGCACAGGTCACGCTGGTGCCGAGCACACGCGCGCAGTCGCGCATTGCGGGCGCGGTCGGGCACGTCGGCGAGACGTCGACGGCGTTGTCGCGGGCATACCTGATGGGAATGCTGGAGGAGCTTGACGCTGCGCGGTACGACATGGACCTGGTGGTGCAGCCGCTGCTGGCCACGGACGTGCCGCTGGTGCAGGCCATTGTGGAGACGCTGCGGTCGCCGCTGCCGGACGTGCGGTTTGTGGCGGAGCACGTGCTGCTGCAGATTTCCGACCTGTGCTGGAACCGCGGCGTGCCGCTCATCTTCGACATGCTGCTCGAGCTGTGGGACCAGGTGCGCACAGATCCCGTGGACGACGCAAAGCACGCGCTCATGGGGGTGCTGGCGCTGCTCTCCACGCCGACCATGAGCGGATGGACCGCGCAGGACAGCGGCCGTCTCCTGCGCGTGTACCGCCTGCTGCGCCAGTGCACCCACTTTGAGGACCAGGAACTGTACGACCAGCTCAACGCGTTTGCGGCGACACAGTGCTCCAACCTGCCCGGGTTCCCATGGCCCGTGCCGCACTCGCCATCGTGCCTGCAGGCAGCCCACCGCCTGCCAACCACCGCACGCCGCCAAAACAACGACAAGACGTCAAAGAGCGAGGCAGCCGAAACAGAACAGCAGCAGCAGCAAGAAGGTGCAGGAGAAGGGCGCATGGATACTGCGCAGGACGAAGGCGGGGCGAGTGCATCTGGTGTTGACGCGTACGGGCGGCCGCGGCGCCGGCAGTCAATTGTGCAGTGGCGCCGGGAGCAGTCGCACTCTACGCAGGAGGTGATGCTGCTGGCCCTGGACGCCCTCAAGGCGCCAGACCTGACGTGGAAGCACAAGCTGTGGTTTGCCAGCGTGGCAGGCTTCCTTGCCTCTGCCACGGAGACGCTGCACCCGGAGGTGGTGGGCTTCCTCTTCCGCAACCTGGTGTCGGACGAGCCTGCGCTGCGGGAGGGCTGCCAGGTGGCCATGGTGCGCGTGCTGCAGGCCCTCAAGACGCCCGTCGCAAAGGTGGACGTGCGCGTGACCCAGGACGGCGACGTGGTGGAGGTGAACGGCCCGTACTGCTGGCGCCGAGTCGCCTCTATCGACCAGCCGTTCCGTGGCGACCTGGCCGACCTGCAGCAGCGCGACCAGGACCCAAGCTGCGGCGGCGGTACTGGCGGTGATGGCGGTGGTGGCGGTGATGGCGGTGATGGCGCCGGCAACACCACGCCTGCACACCAAGACCAACAGCAGCAACAGCAGTCGTCGTCGTGGTCGTACAAGCATCAGCACTTTGGGTACCGCAAGGACACGCGCGTGGTGTGCCCAAAGATTGATCCTGCAACCATGCAGGTGCAGGACATTGGGGAGGACGAGGTGTACTTTGACAAGCCGTTCTGGGGCTGGTATGCGTGGCCGTCTGTGGTGCGCACCTACGCGCCGGAGAAGTACCAGAGCTTCGACCACTTTATCGGCCGCCACCCGGCGCCCACGGAGAAGGACACCCGCGTTGGTGAGGACGGGGCGCCGGTGTCGCCGTGCATGGACGTGGAGCACATGCTGGCTGCGTCGCGGGCGGTGATTGAGCTTGAGCTGCAGGACCCGGCCTTTCTGCACCGCCTCATTGGCTTTCTCAAGGAGGACACGTTTACGAGCCTGAGGCGGGTGAGCCACCTGTTCAAGGGCCTCTTCCGCAACTACGGGTACGCGCTCGTGCCGCTGGTGCTGCCGGATGTGGCGACGCTGTGCCAGTCGACGCTGCGGCAGGACCACCGCGCTGCCGCGGGCGTGCTGCTGGGGCTGCTGCGTGGCAGCAAGCACTGGCCGCGCGCAGACAAGGTGAAGATGCGCGCGGAGGTTGAGCCGCTGCTGGAGGGCACGCTGCTGACCATGCCGGCCTCTGTGATGCGGGCGTGGACGGCGCTGGTGCAGCTGACGGTGTGCGAGCACGACCCGCGCCGCTCTGCGTGGCTGATGAACCTGCTCCTGCGCAAGTACTTTGAGCCAGACCCCACGCGTACGGCGCTGCAGAAGAACGTGCTTGGGTCGGCGCTGTCGGCGGTGCTCGGGGAGCTGTCGTGGCGCGCGCGGCACATCTCGCGGCTGGTGATGGAGAAGGCAGCGGCCGATGTCCCGCACGCGTACGGGCTGGTGCGGCAGACGGCCGTGGGCCTCATTGTCTGCGGCTACACGGCGCTCGTGCCAACCAAGAACCCGCTCTGCACCACAGAGGCGACGACCGTGACAGCAGCCGCGGGAGGCGTCAAGGGCGGTGCACAAGGCAAGGAAGCGAGTGAAGGCGGCGTTGAGGACCAGGCTTCCAGCGCCAAGGGCGACCAGGCTGATGCCGAGACTGAGGCTGAGATTGATGCTGATGAGGAGGCGCAGTTCCTGGCGGCGTTCACGGCGTCGCTGATGGCGCCCCTGCGTGCAGCCGTTGAGACGACGCCGACCACCCCAGCAGCGCACCTCGGCGAAGGCAAGTTTGATGTCCTGAGCGAGATTGGCGTGCCGGGCGAGAAGCGGGCTGTGGAGGCAGCGAATGCTCGTGGGGACATGGCAACCAAGCGCGCAGCCCTCATCGCCATGGACACGGAGGCTGATGGTGGTGTTGCCGACAGCGACGCGGTTGCTGTTGACACGCGCGCGCACCGCCACCACCGCTTCCACCACGGCGGCCCCCGCGAGCAGCACACGCACCGCCCGCGCCCGCACCCGCATCCGTCCAGCGGTCAGCCAGTATCGCCGCCACCAGGCACAGGCGAAGGCGGCGAAGGTGTTGTGTTGTCTGTCCCCGAAAACGTGAGCTTTGAGGAGTTTCAGCAGCTCATGCAGCAGCAGCTGGCGCAGCTGAAGATTCCGAGCGACCAGGCCCAGCAGATGATGCGGCAGATGCACGAGCAGGTCACCCGCCTCCACCACCAGCAGCAGCAGCAGCAGCAGCAGCAGCAAGGGCTGTCATCACCGTCTCCACCACCGTCGTCGGTACCACAGCGCCTGCGCCCGCCCCCAACCCTGGTCCAGCAGCAGCAGCAGCAGCAGCAAGGTGGTGGCGCGAGTGGGATGAGCACCACAACTGCGAGTGCTGCGGCCAGTGGGGGCGGGAGCCGCAGCATCAGCCCTGCGAGCGGCGGTGGCGGCGACGACACGCTGCCGGAGGACGAGAAGCGGCGCCTCAAGGCCGTGTGCCACCTCATTGGCCATGCCAGCCGCTTTTCTTCGCAGCAGGAGATTATGGTGCTCTTCCTGGAGCACGCCGAGGTGCTGCTGGACTTGCTTGAGCGGGTGAGCGACAAGGACCTGTCCCGCAGCTGCAAGGTGAGCCTGCGCCGGATGGTTGCGCACAGCACGGTTGAGTCTGGGCGCCGCCTGTGCAACTACCTGCAGGTGGGCGCGTGCACGTGGCACACCAAGGCGCTGGTGCTGTCGCTGCTGACGACGGTGGCGCGCAACACGTTCCCGCACGTCGATCCGTGCGTGACGGAGACGACCATGTCGCACCTGGAGGACCCGCAGGTGGAGGTGCAGCAGGCCGCGTCGCAGTGCGTGACGCTTCTGACGCGCATGGGGGTGCTGCGCGGCATTCCCTCGCTGCTGCAGGAGTTTATGTCGCGGGCGGAGGCGAAGGTGCGGCGGGTGAAGCGCGCCCCCGTGGTGAGCAGCACGCCGCTCGGGCCCGAGCACCAGCCGCTGTCGGCCGAGGAGAAGGCAACGCTGCGGCGCAAGCACAGCGGCGTGCTGGGCGTGTCTGCCCTCATTAACGCGCACCCGTACGACATGCCATCTTGGATGCCAAAGGCGCTCCTCCTCCTCGCTGCCCACACCACAGACGTCAACCCAATCAAGTGCGTGTGTGGATGAACTTGCGTATGCGTTTTGTTTGTTCGCGTGTGCGGTTTCGTTTGTGTGCATGTGTCCGTGTGTGTGCTTGTGGTTTGCCGATTCAAGGGCTTGCTCTGCCGGCTTTGGTTTATTTGATGTTGCTTGCTTGTCGGTTGTTGGCTATGTTTGTGTATTCGTGTTCCATCACTCGTTCCCACACACATGCAACACACACACACACACACACACACGCACACACACACACACACAAACACACACACACACACACAAACACACGCAGGAGCACGGCAAACAAGGCGCTGACGCAGTTTTGGAAGACACACAAGGAGGCGTGGCACGAGATGAAGAACCAGCTGACAGCAGAGGAGCAAACAACGCTGCAAGACGTGCTCATCTCGCCATCGTACTACGCTTAGAGCGACTTTGTCTGGTTGTCCACCTCGCTGTAGCTTGGGGGCTGACTGGAAGTTGATGTCCGTGGTGCTGTTGCCGTTGGCGCTGGTGTCTGCATGCTCGCTGACCCGAGTGCCGGGTAGATGCCCCTCTCTTGTTGCATCTGTGACACGGCCGTGTTGTACGAAGGCACGCGGTCCACCGGCCCGCCTTCCCCTGCTTGTTGTGGTGGTGGGAGTTGTGGTGATAGTTGCTGTCCTGTGTATGCGTAGTGTGGTTTGCTTTGGCTGTCGTTGCTGGAGCGGCTACGGTAGTCGTCATTGTCATCATCGTCATCAATGTCATGTCCGTCGTTGTCATTGCCGTGCGCGTGCGTGTCTGTGCTTGCGTCGTTGCTGTGGTCGCGTCTCGAGGGGCGCGGGCTGCGGTGCTTTGCGTGAATAGACAGTCTGTCAAACCACTGGTCCCGCAGTGCTGCCGTGTCAAAGGCGAAGTCGTACGCCGTGCCCTTGGCGCGCAGCGAGATGCCTGGCCCGTTCTCTGTCTCCACAGCCTTGATGCTGTCGATTTGCGTTCGTACAATGGACGACTCTGGGTGATATGACTGCGCAACATGCCGGTGTGGGATGCAGTTATGGGGGCGGCGACAAGACGCGATTGGTGAGGAGCAAGGTTGTGTTGTTTGGAAAGTGGAAGGAAGGGAAGATCGAAACGGAGGGGAGGGGAGATCGAAACGGAGGGGAGGGAAAGGGCAGGGAAGATCGAAGAGGGGTTGACATGGCATGAGACGTGCAAGGAACGAATCACATCACAACGTTAAATGGACGAGTCAGATGCGGCCGGACACACAGATGGGAGTAGTAGTCACAACGTGGTGTGTGAGGTGTGGTGTGTGTAGAAACATGCAACGCCAACACAGGAGCACTGCAGCCCTCCTCACTTTGGGGACAACTTACGCCTTCGCCAGCTTTGATGTGCAGGTAGGACTTTTCCAGGACCAGGAACTTGTGCTGCCATGTCTTGCCCATGACGCGCTTGCTGAAGGAGCTGATGACGCCACCGAGCATGCCGCCCGCCTGCGTGTACACCTGCGCAGGCGACCACAGCTCCTGCTTTCCAGACGACATTGTTTTCTATGTTCTCTGTTAGTCGGCGGTGGATTGGACGACAAGTGTTTGTCTGTGTGTGTGTGAGCACAACGTGAGCGTGCAAGGAAGGACACTTGCTTGCTTGACAAGGTTGGAGAGAGAAGGGAAGGGTGTGACTGTGCCTGCAAGCAACAGAAGAGCTGAGAGACTGGCGGATGGATGAATCATGTCACTACCAGTTTGCCAATTGCAAATGTGAGTTGTGGTTTACCAATTGCATCAAGTGTCCTGCCTTGCTTGTTGCTTTTTGCTTCTTCTTGTTTGTGTTGGTTGACGTGGAAGTTGGTGTGGTCGTGGACGGCGGTGGTGGTGCATCCAAACCGTGCTGCCTTGCTTGCTGCCTCGCTTGCTTGCTTGCTTGACTCGACAGACAGCGAAGCCCTGGTGAGCACCTGAGCGCAAGGTCTTTGTTTGGGCCGGACGGTGGCCTGTTGAGGAATCCGAGCGACAGTCCAAACCCCACGGCCATGGCGCAGAGATGGCGGTCGTTGTTGGGTGTCGTGCCATGCTTGTCAGCAGTGGCATTGCTGGCAGTACTGGCGTTCTTGACAACAACACAAACACTAGTCACAGCGAGCGGCATTGGCAGTGACGCTGGCGGCAGCATGGGCGGCTACTTGCCGCTTCCAGCCTTTGACGATGCCGTCCAATTTGCCATTCAGTGGACCGACCCTCCATCAAATGCAAAGGTGTGTGTGTGTGTGTGTGTGTGTGTGTGTGTGTGTGTGTGTGTGTGTGTGTGTGTGTGTGTGTGTGTGTGTGTGTGTGTGTGTGTGTGTGAGTGTGTGTGTGTGTGTGAGTGTGTGCGTGCGTGTGTGTGTGTGTGAGTGTGAGTGTGTGTGTATGCGTTTTTGTATTCGCCGCCACTCCACCACTCATGTGTTCACACCCTTTGCCTTGTCAATGTTGGCCTCTCAGTTGTACGAGAGCATTAACATGCAGACCGCCTTGGGGGAACCGTACACGTGCTACGTTCCCAAGACAAACATCCACGAAGCAAACGACCGTCGAGTAAGCCTACTCGTTTGTAATCGTGTGCGTGCGTGAGTGAGTATGTGTGTGAGTATGTGTGTGAGTATGTGTGTGAGTGCGTGAGTGAGTATGTGTGTGAGTGAGTGAGTGGGTGAGTGAGTGAGTGAGTGAGTGTGTGTGTGTGTGCACATGCGTGTATGTGTGTGAGCTCCTTTGAGACTGACATCTAAGTGAGTTGTTGAAATGGTTCACTGATTGAACACAGCGTGCATGTACGTGCACTTGCTCACACTTGTTTCATCCATGCTTGTTGGGTGTGCTGTTGCTTGCTAATCATGATGGCGCTTCCCTACCTTCACCAACCAGGCGAGCGACGAGGACCGTGCAGTCACACCACCACATCCACAGCAGCTGCTCAGGTGCGCTGCACGACTGGTTGCGGTGCCCGCTGTACTTGCCCATGAGCTTTCCCTTGCTGTCTTGACTACTCGACACACACATACATACATACATACATACATAAATACATACACACATACATACATACACGTATATTCTCTCACACCTACATACATACACACACACACATCTACACACATACACACATACACATACATGTGCACGTGTGCAGTTCGCTGGTGGGTCAGTGCTACTTTCGCTTGGAAGGGTACTGGTCGTATGAGTTTTGCTTCGACAAGTTCGTGCGGCAGTATCATGAGGAGAAGGTGACCACAAAGTCTGGCTCCACCCGCACCAAAGTCACCGAGTACTACCTTGGCCGCCTGGTGAGCACGCTCAGCATGATGCGTGTGGTTGTGTGCGTGTATACGTGTCTGTTGTGTGTATGCGTGTGCGGTTGTGTACGTGTGTGCTGTGCGTCTTTAATGGTCATGTTCTCTCTCTTTTGAGCATGTGTGCGTAAGTAATCCAACCTCCCCATATGCCCCCTTCCCTCTCATCGCACCTCCCCATATGCCCCCTTCCCTCTCATCGCACCTCCCCATATGCCCCCTTCCCTCTCATCGCACCACCACCACCACCACCACCACCACCACCACCACCACCACCACCAGCCCGTGAGCAGCGATGATGCCATGTCTGGCCCACCAGCAACAGCGTCGATGGTGCTTGAGGGCGAGGACCGGGTGTACTTCAGCCGCGTGCACGGCGGTGGCGACGCGTGCGACCTGACGGGCCGGCCGCGCGAGACAGAAGTGCGGTTCATCTGCAGCAAAGGACTCGGCATTCCAGATGGGATTGTCCAGGTGGACGAAACATCCACCTGCAAGTCAGTACACGATGCGCAACGGGGATATGGAGGGCATGTTTGTGGAGAAGGGGATGAGGTTTGCTGTTGTGTATGTGTATGTGTATGTGTGTGTGTGTGTGCGTTTGCAAGTGGGTTGTGCTGTTAGATTTTTTTCTGTGTGTGTGTGTGTGTGCTGATATTGGGTGTAATTGCATGGGGCGCGACATGGGGTCCACCACGAAGGTATGCGTTCCTCATTTCCCATTCCTGCCGTGCTTGTACCAACAGGTACATGCTCGTGTTTGCGTCCCGCGCCCTCTGCGCCAGCGAAGGTAGCACCCAGTCATGCCTGCTTGCAGCCTTGCACACACACAAGAGCTCGTTCATGTGTGTACCAACAGCACTGTGCTCACGCTTGTGTGTGTGTGTATGTGTGCATTGGGCATCAGAGTTTGTCGAGAAGGAGGAACCGGAACACCCCATCGTCTGCTCAGCAACGTGAGCCATTTGACTGTAGCGGTTGGTGGTGGCGATGCACGTGCACGCGCACACATTGCACACGCATTGCACACACACACACACACACACACACACACACACACACACACACACACACACACACACACACACACACACACACACACACACACACACACACACACACACACACACAC